TTGGGCAAAAGCAGAAGGGTGGATTTTGTAAGGTCAGAATAGGGAAGCAGGACGATAGAAAAAGAACTGATGGGTTAACATCAGGTTATGTCAAGTTACACTTTTCAAGTAAGGGTTATAGTAGAGGGACTTGCTTATTCTGCTGACTCAGGTAAACTGAGTTCTCTCCAATTAGTTTCGGTAAATATCCTGTTTCCAGGAAGAACTGGTGTGTTTGGGGATCCTCTACTTCTTTAAAGTTTCAGTTTGATTACAGGGCACTTGGCATGAGTGACTCCATTTTGGTTTGGTCTGGTCTGTTGGGGCTTAGTGAAGGAGCTCAGCCCAAAATAATGGTCTCCCATAATTTTTCCTTAACACCTGTTATGGGGCAGGGCAGAGTGGGAAGGAACAATCTGCTTTGGTTATTTTCCTCCAGAACCATGCTACCAACCTGAGCCTGTCCTCTTAGGTGCTTCTAGTTTGATATGTTATGGGTTGAATTGTGTCCCCCACACAGTTATGTTGAAATCTTAACCCCTAATATCTGTATATCTGACCTTATTTGCAAATAGTGTCTTTAAAAAAGAGTCTTAATCAAGTTAAAATGAGGTCATACTGGATTAGGGAAGGCAGTCATCCAATTGGTGTTCTTATAAACACAAGGAAGAGATACACAGAGGGAAGATGGCAGGCACAAGCAGATTGGAGTGATTCCTCAGAAGCCAGTGAATGTCTGGGGTTTACCAGAGTTGGACCTGGAAGTGACATGGCCTGGTGACAACTTGATTTGGGGCTTCTAGTCTCCAGAACTGTAAGAGAATAAATTTTTCTTGTTTAAAGACTCCAAGATTGTGATACTTTGTTATTAGCTCCAGGAAACTAATACCTCTTCTTATAGCACCAGAGGAGTTGTAAAGGGACAGGATCATAGGGCCTGTGGGGCTGATTTTCCAGGGTTCAAGTGCCTACTCTGCAGCTCACCAGTCACTACCAAGTGCTGTTGGGAATAAACATAGTCAGTGCCTCAACAGCAGTTAGACCATTTCCTGGGCCCCAGTTAGCACTGCCTATGTGTTGGGGTTGTTATTATGTCGAAGCCATCCCTTTGTAACATGGAGGTTGCCCTGATTAGAGGTTGGTACTAAAAACTAACCCACCTTGTTGTGGTTTTTCCACATTTTAAGCTCCTTAATCTTGCTATTTAATAATGTAGCCAAATTCTTTTTTATTTTCACAGAATATCAGAATCTCAGGCATAAGAGAGGGCTTACATAGAAGGTTGCCTACTTTCTAGTCCAACTTCTGTCTCATGCAAGAATATTCTTTACCCCTTCCCAAACCTTGATTTTTCCCATCTCAACTTGAGTCTCCACAATGGTGGAGGATTCTCTCCCTTATAAGAAAACATATTCCATTTGCTGATGGGTTGACTTTTAAGTTTTTCTTCATGTTTAATAGACCTGTCTTTTTATCAGTCACTCTTTGAAGCTACAGAGAAGGCTTTCCAAATTAAAGTTTGAAGACAGCTAATCTCCTGCCTTCCATCTGTGCAATATCTCTAGTGCTACTTCTGCCTAGGCCCCTGTCTTGAATTTAGGTCTCAGCCATCTTCCCAAAGTACATTTATGATCCAGGCTGGATGTAGATGCTGCAAAAATCTGAAGGCTAATAACAGTGACTAGTGGCTCATCTTGGAGTCTTATAGCCTTACTACTGAGCCATGTTCCCAGCCCTTTTTATTTTTTATTTTGAGACAGGATCTTGCTAATATGTTTAGAGCCTTGCTAAATTGAACTTGTGATTGGTCTTGAACTTGTGATTCTCCTGCCTCAGCCTCCAGAGCCACTGGAATTATAGGTGTGTATCACTGTGCCAGGCTTCAGCAATCTTGCCAGGCTACAATAATCTTAACACAAGGGCATACTCAGGTGCAAAAACATCTCATTGTAAAATTTAGGTGCTCCAGCCTCAACTCAATGATCTGAGGTCTCCACACCCACTGGTCCTACCACATATAACCCCAGTGGAGCCTAATGGACCATTCCATGTCCCCACCCCATGACAGAACTCAGATCTGGTTCACTGATGAATAAATATCCTCCCCAAATCAGATGGAGAACTACATAGCATCTGGTGAATTTCCAGATTTAGGAATAACAGATCATATCATTCAATTACATTTACATAGTTATCAGTTATTATCTAGAGGATAATAACTAACCTTAGAATAACAACACATGTTTCTAAAAGAAAAATGGTTCCAAATAAAGATAGGAACTTATTTCAATAAATACCACATCCTTATTAGAATTTATGTTTCTATGGGTGCTCTTCCATTGCTTATTAGTCATGATACAATATAGCAGATGGATTCATCAGACAAGAAAGCCATGGCCCAGAAAGTCATATAACTCTTGAGCTCATTGTTTGAATCCAGGTTGTCTAGTGTTCTGAATTTATTTCCCTAGAAGTTGAAGTCATCTCCAAGTAAGATGTGCATTTGAATGCATCTAGAATAGTTTTTTTTAAATGCATACAAGGCTCTCAATAACATATGTTTGAAAAAATGAATGAATTTGATAATATTCAAGAATGCTGTTTTGGGCTAGTTGAAAGAATAAGTTTATATCAAAAGATTCCATTGATATAATGTAGAATAAGATGATTACCCACCACAATTAGCATTTTACATCAACTGTTTATTAAGCATTTAGTCACATGACAGGATAATTTAGAAGCACAGGTATAATCTCTAGTTATGATCATAGACTGCCCTGGAAAATATTTCAATAAGCCTCTTTTGCCACACTGATTGATTCAAAAGCATGAAAACTTATGATTTTTAATCACGAAAAATCATAGTTAAATAAGAAATGAAAACTGTAGTTACTAAGATAAACTTTCCATATAGTAAATATTTCTTCACTGATGAGACACTATGACAGGTCTGATTAACTTTGATTAATGTTAAAAGACATAATGACAGGTGTCTGGTTAACTTTGGAGCAGACATGGGAGGTCACATACAGACTCAGTTCCACAGAATCAGGATGATATTTATTTTCTTCTTATTTCAGTTTTCAGATATATGTCCTTTCAACTTTTCATCTCTATAGAAAAAAAAATACAATGAGCATATGGCTACATTAAGAAAATAAAGAATAAAAATTTTCATACTATTTCTCCAGTGAAGAAGGTCAATTGTAAATGTAAAATAGTTTGAATTGAAAGAAAGGAACTTTTATTAACAAACTGACAAATTTTATCAACATCAAATAGACTCTCTAATTTCCCACCCTCTGTAAAATAGAAACAGCTCCTACTTTCTCTTAGAACTGTGATTACCTAAAAATGATATGACAACATCAAGTAGTTACAAGTAAATAAACCCAAGGTATTAAGATTTTCATTATTCCAATTAATCTGGTCAAAACAATATACATGCATTATAATTTACTATGGTATCCTCTATATATTGGTTAGAAAATTGAAGCTTATTTTTACCTTTTGAATCTGCAGCAAATAATGACACCACAGGAATTATGATTTCTATTGAAAATATGCCTGTGAGCTACAGTCTCCCCACATGTTATTTTCCAGAGCTATAGTCTCTCTGTGTATCATTTTGAGCATATGGGAATAAGATTCTGACATAATAGATACTTGTTAGATATCTGCAAATATAGGTTTGCAGAAAGGATAATCAGTAGTACTTGCTTGTAGGGTTGCTTGTTTTGTGTATACTAACATATGCTTAGAGCAATGGAATACTATCAAAGTATGAGCTTCTCCCTGATACCTTCCAGAGATATTGGATGTATGATCCAGTTGTTCTGGGGAGGGAGGTCTCTTAATTTAGGCGTGGAGGAAGGCCCTTACCACACCAGGAAAAGGGCCTTGTATTACTGGGCATATTTCCACTGAGAAGGTGGTTTCTTTGGCCTCACCTTACTGAAATCGACCATCCATAGGCCGTTCACTCATGTAATAAAATACAATTTTAAACTCTTGGATTTTTTAAGCACTGTATTTCAGGAATTCTCAATTAAAATTAGGAGCAAGGAAGATAAAGTTGCATGCAATTGGTCAAATAAATTACACTATTCCCCTACGTTCTGCATCTCTGATGGGTTATGAATGAGGTCAATGGAGAAATGAAGAGGAGAGAGACAAAGACAAACAGAGGTTGGGGGGGGGTCTACTACCCTTCCCCCAAATGGGGCAAAAAGAAAGAAATGACAGACACAGAAAAAAGTAGAAAATTCCAATTGAATGACATTCTTGGTGGGGAGGGCTGCTGTTGGGTGTGTTCTTGTTTTTTAAATTGGTGCATTAAAATCATATATAATAGTGGAATTCATTATGCCATATTTGTACATGCACATAACATAATTTGGTTGATTTCATTCTCCAGTACCTTCCCTTTCTGAATGATATTCTTAAAATAATCTAATGAAGTCGTTTAAGATTGTTTTAACTCCCACACATATAATTTTAAATAGTCTTCCTGTTGCCAGTGCTGCGTTTGCTTAAAACATTGTCCTTATGAGTTACCTGTGTGCTCCCTGCAGGGCTTAATTGATGTAGTTAAAACCCCTCATTATTACCAAGAAGCCCAGTTGTCTAAATAGGCTCTTTCTCTAAACCATCAAGACCTGGGTCCTTCCTGACAGTAAATTATCACTCACATGAAATTCCTGTTTTATTGTTTTCATTTATCTAAAGCTTGCCAGTTTGATATATAAGCTCATTATGATAGCAAGTTAGCTTAATAAACTGGGGAAATCTGAAGGGAAAGAATGATAGAAAACGATGTTCTCATTTAAAATAAATAACCAAAAATCTGTAGAGAATCATTACAGATAGCACTCTTTCCACTCCTCTGGACCAAGCATGATAGAATTTTCTCTGACTTTACCAAAGAGAAAACTCGGTCCACAGCAGCGCTGAGGGGCAGAGCCAGAACTGAGCCAGTCGGGGATCCCCACTCTGACCCTGACTCCAGGAGGACAGGATGTTCCTGGCACGCACAGCTTACCTGCAGCAGGCTCCACTTTCACTCCTTCTCTGCTCTCAGCACGTCTTCCCCCAGCTCTCTGATGTGCTCCCAGGCGAATTGCACGTGGGCAGATTCCACCATGCGAGAGCAGATGGCAAAACGCAGCACGAACTTGTCTCGGAGGTGACACGGAACCAAGTGGATTTTTCTGGCATTGTTTATTCTTTGCAGAAGAGCTTCGTTCAGTTGGTTGGAACCCTGGAGGGAGGGATTCAAAGGGAAAAAACTACGTTCACTCCTCTGAGGTCCCCAAAATTCAACTCATCTCATCGTTGGGCAACACCAAGTCTGGTAAGACTAGGATGCCCGGTGAAAGAGGACCTTCCCAATCCACCTTTCATTTACAGTGTTTAAAAGTTCCATAAAATAATAGTAACACAGGCTAAAAGACCATCTCCTCTCCTCACAAAATCATTCCTCCAAGTTCTAATGTACTGTCTAAAGATGATCCCACCCCACACGGGGCAGGGTGGCACATACCTGTAATCCCTGTGGCTCAGGAGGCTGAGGCAGGAAGATAGCAAGTTCAAAGCCAGCCTCAGCAAAAGGGAAGAGCTAAACAACTCGGTGAGACCCTATCTCTAAATAACATATATATAAAAAATAGGGCTGGGGATGTGGTTCAGTGGCCCCTGAGTTAAATCCCTGGTACCTCCCACCCCCCCAAAAAAGATGACCCTCATATGGTCCAAGTTTGTTTAAGAAAAATGAAGATCCCTAGAGATGTCATCTACAAATGAATGAGTTTTGCTTTTTTTAATCTGCATATATAATATAAAATTTCATTAAAATTAGTAAGCCCTATTCATTTTATGATTATTGTTTTTGACCTATATCTTTATTTTTTTTAATTGATTTCAAATGAATGAGTTTAAACAACATGCCTGAGGATTCTGAATAGCACTAGAGTGGGAGTCTAAATTCGTACTGAAACACAGAGAAAATCTCAACAACAGAGAAAATGAAGCACAATATTCAAGCTATTGTTCGAATCTGGGAAGATGTCCATGAACCACAGGATCCAGGGATCATTGGTGGCCTCTACACAGCCCCTTAGGAAGAGAACAGCCAACCAGCTTGGGGGCCAGGGGCCACATGCACAGCTCCTGCTGACTAATCAGGGCTGAGAGGTCTGTATCAAACAGTACATGGGAAGTCAGTGCTTCCCCTACTAACCTCTGGTGCACTCAGCCAGCCAGGCTTATGGCTCTTCTTTGTCCTTTCTAGTTTCTGCCTCTGTCTAGTTTTCACATAGTGGCCCCCCTTCCTCTAAGTGGAAAATAGAAAGGGCTGGATGTAGAGCATTGCATCCTAGTCATATGACCCTTTTAGACTTGTGCTACTTCTTCTGGCCCTTTCTTCAAAGTCCAGAGAAAGAAGAAGAGGGAGGAGGGAAGTGCCCAGTCTACTTGGCAGTCCACTCTAGCTGAACACCTGCTCAATACTGGAAAATGGCTTTGGCCTTGGACAAATCCACCACGACTCTGGCTATGAGCTAGAATGTGGCTGCCTTCAGTGCCCAAGTGCACAGTGAAGGGGCCACAGACATTAGAGAAATTGCTGCCTTGTATGCCAGGTAGACAAATTCAAGGTGGAGAACAAAAAGAAGGAAAGAAGGGAGGGAGGAAGGAAAGAAAAAAATTGGTACTAAGGGAATGGAATTTTATTAAAAAGACTAAGTGTGAGTCTGAAATTTATATAGTGCAGAAAATGAAGGCAAATGATTTAGGAGGAAAAATTGCTTGCAATTTCCAAATGAATTGGACTAGATATGTGTAAGTAAAGGCAAGAAGGCAAACAGGAAAAATGGTCAGAGGTGAAAGAAAGACAAAAATAGCTGAATGAGACAGAGGAGAAGACTGACCAGGGTAAGGATGGAGGGAAAGAGAATCAGTTACACAATCACAACATCACATGCTGCAGCTTAAATAAAGAGCCACAGTGTATGTTAAGGTAGTATGTGATGTGGAGGACTTGAAACTCCTACTGGAGAGGAATAGGATGAGGAGAAAATAATGAGAATATAATAGTTACAGTGGCAGAAAAAATGAACCATAACATTTAACTAACGTGCTTCTTCAAGAAGAAACCAGATTCATGGGATGGAAGCAGCTTGTTAACTGAAAACTTCCCTGGGTTTCCTGCATGTAAGAGCCACACACATTACAGTTCACTTGAGAAGAAAGGACTAAGGCACAGATAGGTTTGGCATAATTAGTAAATTATGCCACTAGAATGAAAGTCTTAACCTTGACAAAATTATGCTAACTGAAAGAAGTCAGTGGCAAAAGCCAACGTATATTTAAAAGTCCATTTATATGAATGTCTGGAATAGGCAAATGTCTAGAGACAGAGATCAGATTAATCAACCTAAGCTGGGGAATGGAGGATGAGTGCTCATGGGTGAGAGTTTTGTTTTTTAGGGTGAAGATGCTCTAAAGTTAGTGATGTCTGCACAGCCCTGTGAATACAGTAGAAATCACACAAATTGGCAATTTAAGTGAATTACATCTCAATAAATCATAAAAATTAAAATAAAAAGTTCCTGCAAGAATCCTGGCAATAAAAAACAATGCAACCACTTGGGGGCAGACAAGTCTGAGCAAAATGCCAGTCCTCAACTTTGATGCAACTGCCACATCATGTCATCTGCATAACCATGTTCTGGACACCATCACCCAAGGCTTCTCTCTTGTTATAAGGCCCCTCTAGTCCTGCTGCTTCCCAACTTTTCCATACCTGGATCTCATCCTCACTGCAAAGCTCCAAGAATCAGGTGAGGGAAAGGAGACAATACATGGAGAGGCAGTGCCACACTTTGAGTGACAGTACCATGACAATGACACAACCCAGTCTGTTCCTGTTCATGATTTCTGTCTGTGGTTGGAAATAGGAGGCCTTATGGGAAGACCTCAAACTGATTCATAAACCATAAGCCAGTGAAACGCGGTAGCATGTACCTCCCAATTACTTAGGAAGATTTCAAATTCCCCACCATCTGGGAAACACAGCAAGACCCAAAGGGTAAGGGAGCTAGGGGTTTAGCTCAGTAATAGAGCATTTGTGTGTGTGTGTGTGTGTGTGTGTGTGTATGTGTGTGTGTGTGTACCTGGGTTGGATCCCCAGCACTGAAACAGTGACAATAAAATCCTCTCATTGTATTAAAAGCCATCTCTGCAGATGTCTGAGAGTTGGTTGTTAATTCTCATCTGACTTCATTTACACCACAAAGATTAATGGGGTATGCATGCAGTACGCCATAGGTCCTTTTGAGAAATATCATCAAGAATCTTAACAAGATGACTTTCATCTTGACTCCCCAGGGCCAGACTCCTTCACCTAGTGAATGCACATGGAACACATATCCTGGAATACCTCACCCTCCTGTGTGGGGTCTTGTTGAGATATGGAGTCAGGGTGGCTAGGTTGGGGAGATTTACTTTTCTATCCCAGATGGGGCCCATGCTATAGGTCCACAGAGAAGCTCAAGTTAGTGAGGCCACAGATGGGTGTCCCGTAGAGAATTTCAGTGGTGGGACAGAGGCTTGGGGATGGAAAAGATAGGGAGAAATCTAGGACTAAGGAGCAAGAAGTCTACAAGTATGTCTCCAAGAAAGCTGAACATCAGTGGTCCATGCAGGACAATCTGGGCAGGGCCTCCCAGGAAGCCAGATTTCCTCAGGGCTGTGGGCTAAATACCATGGTTTTTGTTCAGTGTTCCTGGGACGCTGATGAAGGCATCTGAGTGTGGAGGTCAGAATGGGACTTGCCCCTCTGTCCCATTCAAAGAAAATGATGAGGACGATGATAGACATAAACAAACCTTTAGCCGGAAGCAGACTAGCCCCATAGTGACTTCTGCACAGATCTCAAAGCGGGAATCCTGGCGCACCAAAGACTCAAACATATGAGCCAGCTGGACGTGCTTGAGAGAGAGAGGGGGAAAGGTGCTTGAGTTTCTCATCATCACTGAATTCAAAACTTAACCATCTAGAAAACCCTATTAAACTGCACATCCATAATTCATTTACATACTCTCTGCAATTTTCTTCAAGTGTCTGTGCTGTCCCCTCACCAGCTGTTCCCAAAGAAACTCATTCATTACTATGAAGAAAGGCTTCATGTCCTCAGAAAAAAAAAATAACATCATTTTCTTCTGTTCATGGGGCTATTTCTACACCCTTGCCCCTGAACAATCTGTCTTTTATAATTTTATAACAAAATTGCAAAGAGGTGCTGGAACACTGTAGAAGATATAAAGGCTAACATTCATCTACCACTTCTTCCTCATGACAACTCACAACATAGTGATGGATACTGGTTTACAACCATTTTCCAGTTCAGGAAACAGGGTCAGAGAGTTAACATGCCCAATATCCTATTGCCATGCCTTCTGAGCTAGGATTCGAATGCAGCTAATATGAGACTTTCAGTTCTGCGGTTGGTGTGGCTCTAGTTCCATTGTGCTTGCCCCTGAGACACAGAAACCACACATACACCATCACATTCAAGAGCTGCCTTCCTGTCACTGAATAAGGTTGATGTCAACCTTACTTAACTCCTAGATGTTAAGAACTCAAAAACTGATTCGAATTATCTGTGATCCATGGAGAAAAACCTCTCGCGGATTACGAGTTCTCCTTCATTCAGAACCTTGAGCATCCAGCGTGCTTCTGGTCACCATCACGTGGTAGATGCACCAGAGGAGCTCTGCGCAAGTTCTGGACCAAAGCTTGTTGGGAAATAAGCAATCCCTCTTATGACCACCAGAGGGCGCCAAAGACTTTGGACTCAGGTATCCCCAAAGCAGGCTCCTGCCTAGGGAGGAGGTTTTGGTCCAGCCCTTTCCCACATTCCTGCTAAGGTAGGACTGGGAATCCTTTCAAAAAGAGGCGTGATGTGTTTATCACATGAGGCAGCATAATCACAGCTCATTGTCCTTGAGCTTATGGATGAAATCATTGTGGACAGATAAGCCACTTATGTTTTAGCCTTCTTTCTCCAAATAATTTGAATTCAGTTCTCCTGCTACTTTTCTCAATTAAGAACATAAAATACATTATTTATAAATTCATACACATGTTCCTTTTCTAGTTTTTTTTTTTTAACCATATAGACTCTCATAGTGCTTGATACTCCATAAATTTTCTTAGAATGGGCTTGAAGCAGACGGGTACCAGTTTGTGGCTTCAAGCATTTAGCAAATGCTTGAAAATAGATGCATTTCTGCATCTCTGTCACAGGGAGGACCCTAACATATCTGACCCCTGCCCTTAGCTGCACAGTTGGTGATGCAGCAGCACCAGGACTTAAAGTTAAGCATTGTCATATCATTAGGGTTAGAAACTACAGGCATGCCTTTCCTGTGAAGCCTGGGGACTTTTGACCATCAGGATGAGGCCTTGGCTTAGAAAGGATCAGTAAAAGGAAGGACCCAGCTTGAAGTCAGTATGCCTCCTGCATCTGGCAAACTGGGTGGGCCTTAGGCAAGTCCTGGTTCATATTCAGGCCTCGGATTCCCCAGCTGATGAACAAAAATGGTAGAGTAGTGGGACTTGAAGTAGATCAGTGGTTGTCAAATTTAAGTGCATATTATGTGACTAGACTGCTTGTTAAAGCAGGTTGCTGGGACCTGCAGTAGGCCACTGGCACTGTAGGTCAGGAACTGTGTTTGAGAACAATTGGTGTAGATGGTATCTATTCCACACCAACTCTAAAATTCTCCTATTTTGGCAATCTTCTGAAGAAAAACATATTATATTCTCACTTTTGCTTCTTTGCTCACTGAAACTCACTGTGCCAAAAGAACAACCTACATAATGTTTTTACTTTGACCATTGTTATGTTTTGAATGTGAGATGTCCCCCAAAAGCTGATGTGTGAGACACGGCAAGAAGGTTTGGAGGAGAAATGATTGGGTTGTGAGAGCCTTAACCCAATCAGTGAATTAATCACCGGATGGGATTAATTGAGTGGTCACTGAAGGCAGGTAGGGTATGGTTGGAGGAGGTGGGGCAATGGGCGTATGGTTTTGGGGTATATATTATTTGTGTCTGATAAGATATCTCTCTTTCTCTCTCCCCCTCCCTTTCTGATCATCATGTGAGCTGCTTCCCTCCATACTCTCTTTTACCGTGAGGTTCAGCGTCACTTTGAGTTCTGAAGGAATAGAGCTGGCTGTCTATGTTCTGAGCCCTCTGAAACCAACCATCAGCTTTCAAATAAACGTTTCCTCCTCTACAATTGTTCTGGTCAGGTCTTTTAGTCACAGCAGTATAAAGGCTAACTAAAACAATCATCATCCTGGAGCTGATAACCTGTAATCCTAATAGAGGTGTCCTCAAAGATCCATAATTGTGCATTCAACAACCCAAAGTACAGTTTGCATCCTTTACCATATACAGCCCCAATCTGTGTAGTGACATTTCAGTCAACAATGGACCACATGTGCCATGGTAGTCCCCATGGACTGTATCTTCCAACACGGTCATAGTCATCCTAGTTTGTGCAAGCACATTTTATGATGTTGGCACAATGACAAAACCGCCTAATGATGCATTTCTCACAACCTATCCACGTTGTTAAGTGATGCATGCTTGTATTTACTTACTAAGACGTCTGAATTCATTTCTAAGTCCCCTAAGCCCTCCATAGTATTACTGAGATAAAGAATGAAGACAGTACCTTGCGGATATGAGCCTGCAGTCCTTTGACTCCAAGCATTCTAAAGACAAACCACAATTTCAAAGAGCGGAATCTTCGACCCAGTGGGATCTGCCAGTGCTGAAATAAAATATAATATGGGGCATCAGTGCTTCCTTTCTAACCCACTGGTTGGCTTGTTTCTCTTAAAGGCAACTAGTTTCCTGTGTCTCCCCCACTCGGGCTGCACATTTTCCATCCTGGGGTATGAGCAGGGCCACAGAGGGAGGCTGCCTTTGCAAAGCCTCCTCTGAGGGAAATGAGGACAGGGACTATTGACTTGGGAGGCATTGATGATTATTGTTTTCACTCAACAAATGTTTGCTGAGTTCACACCTGTTCTGGGAAAGAGGCTCGACAGCGAGCTAATAGGAAAGATGTGGCCCTGTTTCTAGGAAGCTTACCACCAGCGGGGGCAAGCAGAGTTTTGCACTGGTGTCTCTGTCTGCAGGGATGGAGAGAGCTGAAACCCACATTTGTCTGCCCTATGCTTCCCATGATGTCCTGGCACTGTTTTCTAGACCAATACTGATTCCTTTCTTATCTCAGTGACTGCAGGGGAGTGACCCCCAAGAGCCCTCTACTGAAAGACATAGCATGTGTCCATGTGTTGGTCCTCAAAGAAGTGTTCCCTCTGCTTTCCCTTGAATTCCCAGACTTTCCTGGCTGACTGCACTTTGCATCCGGTGTGACCCTTGGAAGGCTGAAAATGTAACAAAGTAAGTTGGAAAAGGACAGGGAAGAGAAAGAAGGATGGGCTAATTCGTGAAGACCGTCTGGGAGCAAATCATGGCTTTTTTTTTTTTAAATAATAATATTCTATGAGAACTTAGCGCGATGCTGATGGCTACTCTTCTGTATCTTCTCTTCCTTGAGGAATGAGAGAGGGCCCCCTGCTGGGTGCAGGGTGTCATGATAAGGTGAGGAAGGACCCCCAGACTCACTGGGACTGCCTTTCCCTTGGGGTTCCGGGGAGGTTCGGCTTAGGCCCGGCCGGGTTCTTGGTTGGAGGGCATAGGTGTGTTTTAAATACAGTCACCCTCCATGCACTGGGGATGCCTTCCAAAACCCCCAGTGGAGGTGTGAAACCACACATAGTACTGAGCCCTACATATTCTGTTCTTTCCTGTACATGCACACCTGTGATAGTTGAATTTAGAAATTAGCCTCAGAGAGAGACAGATTAACACAATGACTAAGAATAAAACAGAACAATTGTAACAGTATACTGTAATAAAAGTTATTTCAAATGTACGAATTGTTATTTCTGGAATTTTCTACTTAACGGTTTCAGATTGCCCTTTATCATGAGTAACTGAAACCACAGAAAGTGAAACTGTGGTTAAGGGGGAATGACTACAGAGTGTGTAAAATGAATGAAGAGCAGCCATGTCCAAACTGGGAAAGCTTCTCAAGTTGCAAAGAGAAACATGGACCCCATAGCTAGGCTCAGAGGCGATTACAGTGGTTTCCCTCTGATTTTATGCGGGACACTGTGCTAAGTGTATTCACACTTCATCACATTTCATCTTCCTAACAGTGCTGTGGAATAAGGGGTTCAGATCTTCCCTTGATGGGATGGAAAGCAGGCACGGAGGATGACATGTCTAATGTCACCAACCTAGAATGTGGCAGAGCTGGAATCGTACCTGCGTACACACAGCTGTTTGTGATTTAACCATGTGTCTGCAAGCTGTTGGGAGGTTCAGGAAGAATTAGGCTAACTTACCTTTTTGGAAAATCTAAAAGAGGAACCTCTCACCACACAACTAACTAACAGCCAGTGAAGCAATGGCTCCCTGCCATTGTTCAGCACGGAGGTGGCGTTCCAAAACCATCCCTTGCCAAGTCAACCTCCTGACAATCGAAATGTGATCTGAGTCCAACGTTTGGAGGAAAAACAAGGCAAACGTAATTTTTATGACACTTGAGTGAAAATGTGCACAGTTTTATTGTTTGCTCATTCAAACGTGACTCCCTAATGCCTGTACTGCCTCTCTGAGCCTGACACATGCCTGGATGAGATGCCCCCGCCCACCATTCCTTTTCACCTGCATGAGACCAGAGTGTAACTCATCAGGCGGGCTGTGATTTCCTGTGCAATCAGCCTCACCTCCTGCTAGAATGTAAGTTCTGTAGGAAGGGACTCTGTCTAGTTCGCTACGTTATTCCTGGCCCCAAGCCCAGCACCTGGTCTGACTCAGAGCAGCCCATCCTCACCTTAGGGAATATTGTTGACTTACATACTGAAGCAATCAGCAAGTAAACCTCTTCTACCTTCCCACATGGGTCACCCAAAATGACTCCTGCATGTGGAAGTCAGTTTGTATTGTCTCTTAGGAGATGGTGGGGATGGAACCCAGAGCCTTGTGCACAGTGGGCAAGCGCTCTACAACTGAGCTACACCTCTGGTGCTTCTATGTGAGTCTCCAGACATTAGTCATCTATTTCTTGGGACATTCTTCCTCTGTGATCAAAAATTTTAAAACCAGTACACTGAACCACTCTTGGTAAGCTACCAACATGTACCAGCAGTTGCAGTTTCCTCATCCAAATAGTTTGGGGAAGGGTACAGCTCAAGGGGATGAGCTGGTGACCTGAGTCCTACGTTTTTTTCTTTCAATTGGGTTCTGAAATTTCTCTAACTTTTTTGAACCTCTATCTCCTCGCCTATGCAATGAGCATAAGGATACCTACTTTGCCCTTAATCATGTAAATTTTGGGCAAATGATGCTATCCTTACCTCTTTGGTCTTCAGTTCATAACCAGAAAGAATGCAAAATGACTTTGCCAAACCATATGTCCTGAACAGCCACCTCTTAGATCTAACACTCTCTCCTCATGCCCTCATTCAGACCTGCCTCACCCTGTTCACTTCTGTCATCCCTCACTTCCATGACTAGCCCAGTGGGCAACATTCTGTCCTGGGAGTCCTCTCCCCTGCCTGGTGGCTCTGATGGTCTTCAGTTTGGTTTTCCAGTCTCTGAAGGAAACGATGAAATCATTCATGTCCACACCTCCCCGTCATGCCCCTCTTCTCACACACCCTGGTCTTTCTCCCTGGCATACAACTGGATGGTTCCTGGAAAACTTCACCAAAACTCTGTCCTAGGATAAACCATGATGGCTTGGGATGGCTTCCTGGTCCCCTGCACTCCCAGCTTGTAGCTGCTACAGGAAAAGGAAAGGAAAAGGTATGCCTTTGAGGCACAGCCCCTGCTAGCTTATCAGCTGGAGACATGCTGGCCCTGACAGTTCAGTCACACATAACCTCTGTCGGGACAGCTCAGCCCTTGCTTTGATGACATCTTAAGCCCACCACAAAAAGAATCGGCACAGATCACCTCTGTGTTGACACAAAAAGAATTGGGTACAAGCCATGAGGGGGAACCAACCAATACCTCTTTTCTCCTGAGTGTCCCCAGCTCCTACTCATGTGATAAGTCTCCCAGCCCTACTTATTGTTTCAAATACCTTTCCAGAGTAAGGCTAGGACAATCTGGTATTTTCAAAATATACTTTATGGAACACTGTGTCAAATAAAAAGAAGAGAGAAGCAAAGCAATTTGAGGCAAGGCTTTGAGATAACTGTCCTTCTGTCTGAGCACCTTTGCTGGTATCTGTGTATTCTCTCACTCCTCAGGATGCCACCTCAGCAACATAACTGCAACAAAGAAAGAAGGGGCTGCATTGTCTCAGGAGAGAGAGCCTTCTTTCCAGAGGAATAGGGGTGCAGAAGTTCCTTCCCCCTGTCTAAGGGTGCATTCAAGGTTATTCTACCTAACCTGGAACCCCTGAGTAGTGAGCTCAGCAGATCCGCCCAGTGCCTGACAGAGCCCACCTGATTGGTTAGTTGAGACCCAATTAGAAGGTGCTCTGCAGAGGAATCCTGCTCAGGAGAGTGAGGGACAGCACACCATTCACATTTTGGATAATAAAGGACCTAGTTTGATGAGACAAGTTGTCCACTTACCCTGTAGTCAGTGATAAGCCCTGGAGAAAAGAGAAAGAAAAAGAAACCATTAGACAAAAAAATGTTAACATACGTAATCATTTTCATCTTCAAGGTAGATTTCTGTATCACAAACACAATCTTTTGAGGCAGATGAAAAACTGCCCGAGGGTTGACTGGGCCTGGGAGTTCCCTGTGGCACATCTCAAGGTAACAGATTCCAAGGGAGTCCTCTGAAAGCACTATGTCCAGGATGCACATTGAAAATGCTGAATTATTAATGAAGCACCATTAGTTCTGTTTTCTGCAGTTGCATAAGAAAGGAAAGCTGAGATTTCATGTAGTGCCCAGTAGTAAGTTACATTCAAATCATGTAAATCATTCATCATCCATTCATTCATACATGGGAAGGTGAATTGGTGATTCAAAGAGTGATAAAAATAATAAAGAAAAAAAAATGGAACCTGATGGGAGTATTCATCTCGGTATTCACAGATCTAGTTCAGCATCGGACGCACAGCAGATGCTCCATGAATATGTATCTATCGAGTCAGTTTCCTCATTCTGGATTCAGTGGCTCCACATTGGTTATGAAAAATGGATGTTTTGAACTTTAGTCTTCCCTCACACCTAAAGCAATACATCCCAGGATCACATGGGAAAAGTACCCTGGGTGAGGACTCAGATGAGTTTCTACAAGTAACCCTGTTAAAGGATCAGGTAAGAGTTATAAGGATATGCAGTAGTAGCTACACCGCTTGGTAGAGGAGTTACGAGCTATGGAAATCTTTTCCACCAGCGTAGGCCAGGCAAGGCACATTGTAGGCATCCCCTATTTCCTGTGCAATATCGACTGCAGCGTGGTTGTAGCAGACCTTCACCATGTTCAGCCAGGACAAGCAACCTAATAGAACCCACATCCACTACAAAGGAATGTCCATGCTATATTTACAAGAAATCTGAAGTCCTTCCCTGACTGCATCTGGCTCCCTGAAAAGACCAGGTGTTTTCTCAGCTAGGATAAGAATGGTAGTGTTGGAGAAAAATGTAGGACCATCAGTATCAGTCCCTTATTTAATGATTTGGAAAAGACCCTGATATGGAAGCCCACAGTCACATAGCCTGTCTCAACTCCTGCCCAGTTCTCTCATTCCTTTATACCCCGTGGTCTCTCATTAGTAACAGAGTTGTTAAATAAATATAACATCGATAGCAGAGTCATCAGAAGGAAACTGACAGTGATTCACAGAGGCCACGGTACTTGGCATGTTGTAGGTACTCAGAGAACTTGTTAAATACCCAGATGACTGTCATAAATGAAAAATGAATAAGTGAGTTTATATGACTATTCTATCTAATATAGTAGCCAATAGCCACATTTGGCTATTGAAATTTTAGGTAGTTAAAACTACAGAAAATTAAGTAGTTTTTTTAGTGTGATGAACCACATTTCAAGGTTTCACCTGCCACCCTTGTCTACCATATTGGACAGTGCAAAATTATAGAATGTTTACTTTACTGTAGAAAATTTTATTGGACAGTGCAACTCGTAGTTTCAAAGACAAGGATTCAGACACAGCAGCTAGTATAGCCAAACACCATTGATGAAAGATGGAATTGGCTTCTCAGTGAATCTGCTTTCTTCTTTAAGGACTCCTTGAAGAACTGGCTCAACTTTGGAGCTTCCTTGAACAATCATTTACTGTAAACAATAATGAATTCCTCTAAACCATTAATTTCCCATGACAATGATCTTACTTACACTTAACACTGTCTTAAGAGCTTAATGTGTCTTAATAGGTCTTATGTGCCTACTGTCATTTATTTATTTATTATTTCATTGGCTCTTTTTAGCTAGACATGACAATAGAATTTATTTTTACATAATTATAAAAGGATGGAATATAATTGGTTCTAATTTGGTTCCCAGTACTTCCCCTTCCTCCCTCCCACTCCCTTTTTCCTTCTCTCTACTCTACTGAGCTTTCTGCTATTTACTTATAGTTATTTTTTGTTAAATTAGTGACTTGTGAATGTACATGATGGTGAGATTAAAACTTCATAAGATATATGTGGTGTAGGAGCAGCTTATAAATTTTAAATGATATATAGATAAAACAGTAAAACTAAACAAGGCATAAAAGAAGACTTGTTGAGAAATACAACAATATATCAATAATGTTGGCATTTGAGTGGTTGGATTGTGAAATCTTCTGGCTTAGCATTGACTGTTTTCTGTTTTCCAAATATAAACCTTTAATAATTAAGACTATCTGAAAAGCCTGTGTAACAGGAGTGACCACTTTCCCTTCTCACTAGAATTCTGACAGAACTTTCTGTTATAAAGGAAACTCTCATTTATTTTGACTCTAGCTCAATGTCTTCCACTAAGCCTCTGTAGAAACTAACTTGGTATCCAAGGGGAATTGTTCCCAGGACCTACTGTGGGAGTCAAAAATCTAAGGATGCTCAAGTTTCTTACATAAAATGGCATAGTATTTGCATATAATCTACATACATCACCTTGTAGATTTGAAATCATCTGTAGATTACTTATCATATCTAATACAGTGTAAACGCTATGTTAATATTTATACTGTATTTCATAGGGAGTAATATCAAGAAATAAGTCCGTAATTGCTTTGTTCAGGTGCAATTGTTTTTGTTTTTGAGTCTTTTTTTATTCACAGTTGGTTGGATTGGTGGAGCAAGACCTATGGCTATGTAAGGCCAACTCTACTGGCCCCGGGTAAGCTGAGACCACATGTGTGAAGTGCAGCCTTAACACAAGGGTTGATCATCATCCTGGTAACACCTGCTTCTGGGTGTGCTCCATTCACTCAGCTCCTGTTGGAGATGTGAACAGGATGGCAAGGCTCTTGCTTGCAGATGTGGTGTTCTGGTGGGCAAGATGAACAACAGACAAGAAACCAAGGGAGCAATATGATTGCAGCTGGAGACAAGATCCAGGAAGAGCACAGAGTGACCTGAGGCTGCTGAGACGAGGGCCCTGTGGACATGGGAAGGCCCAGAAAGACCTCATCAAGGAGAACACATCCATCCTGAGGACTCTGGAGAATGCCCATGCAGGGACCAGTTGAGGGTGCTGTGTACAGAACAGGGACAGGCTTCCAGGGCCATGCAGAAAGCCAGAGTGTGTTTTTCCACAGAGCCTTGCAATGGAAGGAAGACCAGGCAATACATGATCATCTTTTCCTAAGGGCCAACCTGTTTGCTGGGAGGCAAAAGTCTTGGTTTGCTGCCATTTTGGCTGGCAGACATTGGCGCCTCTGCCTTCACTTCTGTTACACTGCTCAGTGCTCTACCCAGGGACCAAAATTACATCCTTTTCCAGTCCAGAGTTTATTTCCTCCCCCATAAATTGAAGTGATGGGATCAAGTGTTCTGTAAGGTTTCTTCTCTCACTAATATTTTATGGTTCTGTGGACCCAAGAACGCTTGAAGATGATAGAAGTTCCCCAAGATGTGGCCTGTCATTCACTCACTAATTCACACTCTGTGCTGCATCAGGCCCCAAGATAGCCCACACACAGGCACCAAGCTGGCAGCAATGAGAGATTTCAAAAGGAATGAGAAAACTGATCTGCCATCAGGAGGTGCTGTGTCTCAGGGAGAGATACATATGCAACTACTCTCATAGGTCGATTAAAAGTAGCATAATAATTCGCTGGAGGGTGTTGCTTAGGTTGCTCTTACACATTTTACTTGACCAGGATCTCAAATTATCCCACCCCCTCCAGAAAAAATTACACTAAAAGATGTATTCCTTTAATGTAGTACAACAATGGCTGGATCCTTCTGAAAGTGCCCAGATAATAGAAGTGGTGATAATAAACACCCTTATTTCTGACCTCAAAAGAATGTTTTCATGGTAGGATAGCACTCAATGTGATATTGATATATGTATTACATTTCTTTAATCGGGGAAAGTATTATTTTATTTCTCCTTGGGTAAGAAAATGCTTTGTTCAACAGTTAAGATAATAAATGTATAGCAATTTTATATTTTTAATAAAGTTGTGTTCTTTTAGAAATCCTTAAAATTTCAATAGGTAGGCAACACAGGCACCAGGAAGGGTATTTCTGGCTGAAAGGAAGTTACAGGGAAAGGAAAAAAAGACAGTTTGGAGTGGTTGAAGACAACTGAGAAGAAATGTTAAAGGAGACCAGATGGGAATAATAGAAGGGGCATGAGCCCTGGTACACATGGGGCTGTACCAGGCAGGCTCAGTTAGGATGCATGGTTAAGGAAGGATGAACAAGAGCCACAACCAACCAAGACCCAGGGATCCTGTCTCTGAGTGATGGAGAGAAAACCAAAAGGAGGAGAAGACTGAAAATGACTAATGGTGAGCTGAGTCTCCTTGCTGTCAGGGGTCCACTGTGCATAGTGCTCTGTATTTAGGGATCATGCAGGTGGCTTTCTGTGCTGCATGCATGAGCCTTGACATTTAAGGATAATATTGCTAATGATTCTGTTTTTGAAAGCATAGAGAAAATTGAGAGCATTTACAAATAATTGCAGTATCTCGATGTGGGCACTGTGAACATTTTGAAATTTTCCACTTCACACATTTTGGTGTTGCTGAGGTCATTCTCATCATTATCAGACATTATCTTTGAACAGCACTGCCTTTCAGGGAAATTTGGATTTCCACACCCTGGGTGCCCCCTCAGAGCCCTGCTGTGCTAACTCGTGATTTGGCATTTGATTGTGGCCTATGAACAAGGGTAGTAATTGTATAGAACATGATGTTTTATGTTTTGCGGGAATTCTGCTGCCTTGTAGAAATGCTTTTTATGAGAAGGCATGGAGGCATCTCTGTTGTAAAGTTCTAACCCTAAACCACTGTAAAGGTCTCATAGGAATAATAATTCTCAAAGGTATGTAAAGCCTTTGTCCTCAGGTTAACACTGTAAGAAGGTGCTGTGGGCCTTTTAGAGGTGGAGACTCAAGGGAGTTCCTTAGGTTATTGGGGGTGTGCCCTCAAAGGGGAGTGTGGCATTCTGCCAGTCCTCCCTCTCTCCCTTTCCCTCTCTCTCTCTCTCTCTCTCTCTCTGCTTCCTGGCTTATGATGTGGGCACTCACTATACTGTGTGCTCATCACCTTCCTCGCTGGGTTATGCAGGCACTGGGTCCTTGTCACTACTTCTGTCACCAGAGTCTGGCACAGAGGGCCTACCATTAAACAAGTGCCATGCATATTGGTGTACTGAACCTTCCTAGGGCTTTGTCATATTTTCTCTTTACTCTCCTTCCCTGCAGAATCTTCTTCATTTACTTTCTTCCCTCCTCTTGGTATTAGTGGAAGGCATGAAAATTCTTTTTTGGAAAGACGTTAGAGCAGACATTTTTGTAAAGGTGTTTCCTTATGAACAGGAAGTATCTGTACCTATACTGAAGTCCCCTGGCTGCACCACTGGATCCAGATGCTGCTTCTGCCCCAGTCCTGATCAGTGTTGGCTCCATGGATGGGTTAAGGGCTCTTGGGATTTCCCAGCACAAGAAAGAGCTGTGAGGGGCAAGTACAGGTACACACAGCACCCAACCACTCTGGTGTCTCCCCAGCCTTGAACGACCGACTCCTGGCTCTTAGATCCTTCTAATGAAGCTTTGATGAAAACATATGTGGGAACAGATTGTAAGAGCAAGCACCCAACTTACCTGAATCCTGATGGCTGTGCTTCAAGTAAACAGGGTCCAGTTTAAAGGCTCCTGTTAAATCTGTTCTCTTTTTCACCCTGGGTTTAGAAAAAAGAAATAATAGGGCTCAAGATGTAGGATTCTGGATTGGTCCATGCTGTCTGCTGTCCCCTTTGTGGCTCTGCTTAGGCACCTGCCTCCAGGGTACTGTCTGGACATACTTCTGTATACATGGCCTCCTCTGTCCCCAGTTCCCTGGTCTCACTCCAGCCCAGCATGCACCGCTCCCAGAAATAGGGAGAAGGGGATAGAAAAGTAAATAAATAGTAGGTTTTGTTCCTGGTTCTTGGCACACAGCTCCTAAAAGTTTGGTGGTGATAAGAGTTTGATGAGATGACTAATGGCTGGGGATCCTACATAGTTTCATATGGGGACTTCTCGCCAAAAGACTCACAGCATAAAGTGTGACTCAGGTCAAACTTTCAGTCTCTGGGGAAGGAAGATGACTGGAGACTGAGTTGGTCGTTTTAATCAATCATGCTAAGTAAGAAAAGCTCTCTGAAAAAGTCCTGAAAATCAGAGGCCTAAGAGTTTCTGGGTTGATTGGCATTTTGAGGTGCTCTCTTTCCAGAAACGATGTGGAAGTTCCAAACCTAGCCCTCTTCCCTGCCTGGCTCTACTCTTTGTCCTGTGCATTTCTTCATTGCCTGTTCATTTGTAACCTTTATAATAAACCTGTCAACATAAATAGAACATTTTGTTGAGTTCTGAGTTGTTCTAGCAAACTATCCAACTCGGAGTGGGGGATTATGAGAACCCCCAGCATCAAAGCTATGTTGGACAGAAGGGTGCTACTCGGGGGGTCTGGTTCTTGAGACTGGCACTTGAAATTGAAGCCATCTTGCGGGGCGGGGCTGAATCCCGCAACCTGTGGGGTCTGTTGCAAACAGAATAGGATTGATTTGTGAAACACCCCACTGATGTGTGCAGTGTTGGACAACTGGTGTCAGGACCGAAGAAAGCACTGTAGTTGTATTTATTCCTCTGTGGCTCCCGGGCCCAGTGCAGCACTTGGCCCCTGATGGTGTCAGTGACTGTGCACTGGATGAACACTGAGAGATGCCTAGTGCTGTGCACATGGATCCCTCCCTGTCCACCACTCTGCCTGTGGAGCGCTCACAGCAATCGCCATTTTGGATAACTTGGGTCCAACTCTCACTGGGACTTGGATTTGAAGGGCGATTATGCTAATTGCTGCTCTGCTTCATTTGGCAGTGGGGACATCATCTCAAAGCCATTTTATGGCAAATAAAGTATCCTAGGCACCAACTGGAGAAGAAATGTCAATCTGATTGTAGTTTGGGCTTGAAAACAAATACAGTGTGAGAGTCCCTGAGAGATCCAATCCAGTGAGCATGAAATAGGATGCCCAGATGAGGCTTAACAATGAGGAGATGAGAGAGAAAGAGGTTAGATTTATTTATGGAAGATAATAGAGGCTTTGTTTCTTTAAAGGGTTAAAAGACAGACCATGTCAGTGGGCAATCATAAGCTGTCTAGTGTATGTTCTCTCTTTGGTCCATGGAAGAAAATCTATTGTACCAAAAACATTGTGTGTGTGCACATGGGCATTTTGCTACATCATGAGCCTTTTCCAAGAAGTCCCTGGAGGATTTTTCTTTGGGTCCCTCTGTACTAGGGGAAGCTCTGAGCCTAGCGTTAAAGAGCAGGGAAAAAGAAAGGGGTATGAATATCTACAGCTATCAGTATAATTCCTTCTTCATGAAGACCAGAATTCTCTTATTAATGACTCCAGAAATGATGTTTGAACTCATTATTTTTTTTAGTTGTTCAAGGACCTTTATTTTATTTATTTATTTTTATGTGGTGCTGAGAGTTGAACCCAGTGCCTCACACATGCTAGGCAAGCCCCCTAACACTGAACCACAACTCCAGCCCTGAACTCATTATTTTTTAATTTAAAAATATTATGAAGTCATATAAAAGGCAGAAAGAACAATTTCTCTGTCCCCCGATTATGAAATAAAATTTGACTTTTAAGTAAAAGAAATTCTTCCTGTGTGTCCTTCCCCTCAGCCCCTTCCTCTCTGGAGTCCATGACAGAGGCCACAGACTTGAATTTGGGTTTACCATGCCTACGTCATTCTTCAAAATCTTTTGCACAAATCCCCAAGTAATCTATAGTATGGTTTTGTTTCTAAATAGACTGTAACAACTTAAGGTGTTTAAATATGAATGTCATCCTTCTCTGAGTATTTTTCTACAACTTACTTTTTCTTATAAAAACAGACTGAATTTCACACTCATTCATACAAGTCACTTGCATTCATTCACTTTTGGTTCTATTTTTTTTTTCTTGGTATTGGGGATTGAACTCAGCCACTGAGTCACATCCCCAGCCCTATTTTGTATTTTATTTAGAGACAAGGTCTCACTGAGTTGCTTAGCACCTCTCTTTTGCTGAGGCTGGCTTTGAACTCAAAAGCTTCCTGCCTCAGTCTCCCAAGCCACTGGGATTATAGGAATGTGTCTACCGTACCCACCGCATTCATTCACTTCTTTTTCCCCTTTCTGTACTGGGGAATCAAACCCAGGGCCTCTCCTAGTCTCCTATGCTAGATAAGTTCTCTAACACTGAGCCTCAGCACTCTTTTTTTTTTTTTTTTTTTTTGAGACATGGTCTCATTAAATTTCTCAAGATGGCTTCAAACTTGTGATCCTCCTGCTTCAGCTTCCGAAGTAGCTGAGATTACAGGTGTGTATCTCCACACCTGCTGGTTCATTCTCTCTTATTACCTAATTGGATTTCATTGTACAAACATATTACAACCCATACATTCTTGTGTTGTTTCCCATTTGTTAGTAGACAAGATCTGCTTCTGTGGGCATTCCAGCACATTTCCACTGTGTTTGTAGAATATTCATCTCTTCACGGAAATGGCACAGGGTACTCTTAAGGTTGTACGAATATGTCTACAACCTTACCGGACAAATATACTAAATTAGTCTCCACAATGGTTGTGCAGTGTACAAGTTCCTCGGGTTCCATATCCTGACCAACATATCATTTGGAGAGATTTCATTTCCAAAAATTCATAGTGCTTAATGGTGCTTAATTTGCATTGCTGATAATGAATGAGGTTGAGTAACTCTGCATTCACTAAGATGCCATATCTAGAGTTTCCTATTTGGTGAGGAAAAGTTTGTTCATATTTCTGTGTGATTGCTTGTCTCTGTCATAATGGAATGGAATTATTAGGAATACTAATTTGCATACTTGGTTGGCCTGCTCCAGGTTCTCCTGTGGTCTAATCTCTCTGTCACACCTGTCCTATACAAGTTCAGCTCAATCAGTTGCTTTACACGCACTGACACTTGATTAGGCAAAGTCTCTACCATATTCTTCTTAACAATTCTCTTCATTATTCTTGGCCCATAAAAATATTATGGCAGTTGGGATATTTATTAAAATAAATATTAAGGCTTCCTACCCATGCATATAACACATCACGGTATGTAGTCAGGACTTCTTTAATGAATTCCAAAAAAATTACAGAATTTTTGTCATAAAAGTTTGAATAGATTTTGATATATTTATACACAATAACCTCATATCTTTTCTTAGTATTATAAAAAGGATTTTTAAATTTCATGTGTTGTTAATTGTAGACACATAAAAAATGCAACCTTAAAAGTTATTTTACTTAGAAATTTTTCTGTGTTCTCATATTAAAGACAAAGCCTTGAAGATTCTCTTTATTTCAGTCATTTCATTGGAGAATAATGAGAGTTTTGTATCTTCCATTCCAATTCCTATATTTGCACTTCTTTATCTTTTACTATGCATGTTAGGAATGCACAATATTGAATAGAAGTGATAATGATAGGAACAATTTTTTCCTGATCTTAAAAGAATGCTTCTAATATTTCACCATTAAGAATAGGTTTTACTACAGTTCTTCAGTAGATACATTTTATCAGTTTAAATTCTCTTCTCTTCCTGCTTTACTAAGACTTTTTGTCCTGCCTGGTATTGAATTTTATGTAATTTTTGTGGGGGGCCTGATGTGTTGATAACTTTGTTTCTCCTTCAGCATGACATTTACTAACCTAACATTAAACCACTCTGGCATATTTGGAATAAACACAATTTGGTCATATAATATTATTTTTTTTAATCATTGGATTTTATTGCTGACATTTGACTTTGAATTTTAACTTTTAAGTTTAAGTTTGTTCTACAGTTTTTCTTTCTCTGCTTCTCACCTGATTTTAGAATTGCTGCAAAACCTACTCTATGACATAAGTGACACTTGCTGTTCTCTGTGAATCAAATTTGAGATTGGATAGAAATCTCCCCTGACAGTTGAGTAGGATACTCACTGTTAAAAGAATACGGATATTACTGCTGTAGGAAAATTTTATTGGAACTTTGTAAGATTGTTCAGGTTTTTGTTATTCTTGAGTCAGTTTGGGTAAAAGTGATTTTTGTAATGATGTGTATTTTGTGGGGCAATTCTTGGCAAGATGTTATTCATAAGTTCTCCCTTATGATTTTTTGAAATCTCTAAAGTACATACAGGTAAGGATGTATAGCTACATACTACAGTGAGGACCTTTTTATTTTCTACAGCAGTTTATCAGTGACTTATTTTATTTTATTTATTTTATTTTGAAGGGATTGAACCCAGGGCCTTGCACATGCTAGGGCACTGAGCTTCATCCCCAGTCCTCTTTTTATTTCTGTTTGGTGTTTCCAGAGATCATTTATTTAATTGCCAGGTGAGGTAGCAATATTTGGCATTGTTGGCTCTCCCTACTGTGTCAATTTTACTACCTCTGTTAACTTTAACTTTTTTCCTCCATTTACTGTTTGAGGGTTTAATTATACACTGTCTCCTGGATTCATTGTATCCTGAGCTCATGATTTTCTGGCTTTCTTCTTTTCTAATTAAATCTATTCTCTAAGTTGTACAGCAGTTGCATGACACAGTTTTGTTGCATCTTTATTTTTTTCTTGGTTCTTGGTACTTCAAAATACTTCCAATTTCCTATTATATTTTATTCATTGACTCAT